CGCATATGCATTTAGGATCTAGTGGAGTGCTAACACCCTTGAAAATGTTTGTGAAAATATGCTAACACATGTGTACAAGGTGATACACTTGGTGGTTGGCACATTTGAGCAGGGGTGAAGAAGATAGAAGTAAAAATGAGTTAGTCACGCTGGTCACAAGGTGATCGGACGCTGGTCTCAGAAGGACCGACGCGTCCGGTCAAACGTGACAGCATAGATGCCAGCTTCGATCAAACGACCAGACACTGGGTCTTAGACTGACCGGACGCTGAAAGGGTGCGTCCGGTCCCAGTGGATGTGTCAGCACAGTGGTCAGGGTAACTGATCGGACACTGGCTGTGTCCGGTCAAGCAGGACCGGACACGTCCGGTCGTGAAATATCGTTTCTAGAACCTTACTGGAAACGACCAGACGCTGGTGGCTCAGAGTTCGGTCAGTTTGTGCGCAGCGTTCGGTCAACAGACTACCGTTGAAATCTGACGAACAACGTTTGAAGCAGGGGACACGTGGCGTGTATCACGTGACCGGACGCTGAGGGCCAACGTCCGGTCGATCGGACCGGAGCGTCCGGTCACCCCGCGCTATGCCCAGTGAAGGGGTACAACGGCTCTATTTCGTGGGGGCTTCTATTTAAGCCTCATGGCCGGCTCAAGCTCACTCTCTTGGCCATTTGTATTGACATAGCAACCCTGTGAGCTTAGCCAAAGCCCTCCCACTCATCTCCATCATTGATTCATCATCTTTGTGAGATTGGGAGAGAATCCAAGTGCATTGCTTGAGTGTTTGCATCTAAAGGCACTTGGTGTTCGTGTTTCGCTGCGGGATTCGCTTGTTACTTTTGGTGGTTGCCGCCACCTAGATGGCTTGGAGCAGCCAGGATCATTGAGCGGAGGGTGGTGATTGTCTCCAGCTCCGATCATGGTGATTGTGATGGGTTCTTGACCTTTTCCCGATGGAGCGCCAAAAGGTACTCTAGTAGATTGCTCGTGGCTTGTGTGATCCTTATCTTGTGTTGGTTGTGTGGCACCTTATTGAGAGTTTGGCGTGTGATGCTAATTAGCGCGTGAACCTCCAAGTGAGTGAATCACCACAACGAGGAGTAGCTTGCCGACAAGCAAGTGAACCTCGATAAAAAATCATTGTGTTCATCCTTTGATTTCGAGGTGTTTGGTCTTCATTGTTATTCTCTCTTGTGATTGATTGGTTCCTTCATCTACACGGCGGTATAACTTTCTTGATCACTCTCTTTATATTACCGCAAACTAGTTGTCAAGCTCTTTAGTGTAGTTAGTTGTGAGAGCTTGCTTGCTTGGTTGGTGTGGCTCTTTAGTTAGCCTTTGAGAGCACACTAACATAGGGTAGTGTCATAGCTATTGTGTGAATAGATACTATCTAAACTAGAATTGTGGTAGGTGGCTTGCATTTTGAGTAGGCTAGCACAACTCTTGCTTCGCCTCATAATTGTCTAACCATTTTGTTAAGTGTTGTTGTAGAAATTTTTATTAGGCTATTCACCCCCCCTCTAGCCATTAGAACCTTTCAAGTGGTATCGGAGCCGAGGTCACCGTGATTTGAGGCTTAACAACCTTCGGTGTAAAAATGGCTCAAATCAACAACACCAAGAAGCCACCCCAATTTGATGGCACAAATTATCCATATTAGAAATCAAAGATGACCACACATATCAAGTCAATCAATAGAAGAGTGTGGAAGGTAGTAGAAACCAAAATTGAGATTGAAGATCCAGAGAATCCCACCACGACCGAAGAGGTGCTTCTCCCAAACAATGACATTGCTCTAAGTGCCATTCATGATGCAATTGATGAGAGAACATTTCAGTAAATCAAGAATATTGAGATGGCTCGTGAGAAGTTAGAAGAATCATTTGAGGGCACTCGAGCCATGAAGGGTGCAAAGGCATACATTCTCAAAGAGAAATTTGTAAGCTTCAAGATGAAGGTGGATGAGAGTGTGCCGGAGATATTCCATAGACTTCAAATGCTTATCAATGATTTCAAAGCACTTGGAGAAGAGGTGAAGGACAAGGACTTCTCCCACAAGTTCTTGAGATGTTTGCCTTCGAGATTTGGTACATTGGTCACTATTCTAGTGAGGAGTGGTTTGGACACCATGACACCAAACCAAGTGTTAGGAGATATAATGACCGATGATACATATAGAGATGATGATGAGAAGAAAGAAAATAGGGAGAAGAAGGATGAAGAAGGATGAAGAAGAGCGTGGCATTCAAGGCCACATCATCCAAGGGCAAAGCCAAGCAAGAAACATCAAGTGAAGAAAAAGATTCATGGGATGATGATGATGATCATCATGAGAAGATGGCTCTCTTTGTCAAGAGATTTGGTAAGTTTATGGTGAAGAAGGGCTATCGTGCTAGAAGAAAGAAGTCTTCATCCAAGAATAAAGAAGAGTCAAGAAGGTGCTTCAAATGTGGAAGCAAAGATCATCTTGTTGCTCAATATCCATACAATAGCGACAATGATGGTGACAACAAGAAGAACAAGAAGAAAAAGAAAGAGAAGAAGGACAAGATGGCCTTCAAGAAGAAGAAGGGTGGTTCATATGTAGTCACTTGGGATAGTGATGCTTCCTCAAGTGATGATGATGACGATAGTGATGATAACAAGACCACCAAGAAGAATGTTCTTGCAAACATTGCGATCAATGAGAAGCCTTCTCTCTTCGACTCTTCATCATGCTTCATGGCTAAGGCCACTAAAGTACAAACTTGTGATGACGAAAGTGATGAAGAACATGATGATGATAATGAAAATGAAAAAGAAAATGATAGTGATAGTGATGATGATGAACCTACTAAGGATGAATTATTTGACATGCTAGAAGATGCTAGAGAATACTTTGACATCAAGAGAAGGGAATGCAAAAGCTTACGTAAGGAACTAAAAGCCCTTAAGCAAGCCTTTGATGAGCTCAATGCATCTCATGAGAGGCTAGAGGAAGCCAATGAGAAGCTTGGCAAAGCTCACAAAAAGCTTGAAATGTTCATTTCTCTTTGCTTGATGAGCAAACTAAAAAGAAGCATGTTGAAACTTGCAACGTAGGTTTAACTTGTGATATAATTGATGAATCACTATCTATGCCTATCATGGTTGCTCCCGCTAACCCTTTTTGTAGTACTTCCACTTCCACCTTATCTAGTAGTGAAGGTCTCACTTGTGATGCCTCACTAGTGGTTGAGAATAAGAATCTCAAGAAGGAGGTTAACAAGCTCACTTATACTTTGGCTAAGGCCTATGATGGTGAAGACCGCTGACTTATGTGTTATTTATCCCTCTCTAGCCATTAGGACCTTTCACATGTATATTGCAGTGAAAACTTCAGCTACTTTGCACCTGCAGTCGAATATTGAGTTCCCTCATCCTGAAATGATAAACATGTTTTGATCTGGGAAACTCATGAATATTTAGCTCTTAATTTTTCTTATAATATGTTGTCATTTTCTAAAGAAACAATCAAATTGTTCGTTTATTGGTTTTAGCCAGGGCTTATCAGGCAACCAATAATATTTTTCTCTCACAACAAACCAGCATCAGCCGGGCTTATCAGCCCAAAAACCAACCAGTGAACAGGCTGAATATCATCGTAGAGGCCCTGTTCGCTTCTCTTATAATCTGTTTTTTTTTCAGCCGAAATAGTGTTTTTCTCTCACGACAAATCAGCCGGAACAGTATTTCAGCTCGTTTTTTCAGCGAAACGAACATGGCCAATATGCTTACCATTTTATGTCAGATGCACCATGCATTAACATACCCTCTACTCATCATGTTTTAACGTGCTATTTGGTCGAAGCGTTGGTAACGCAAATGTAATGGATTAAAACCTACGGATGTTACCGCAAGCCATTCGATTTGAACTAATATTATTTCCGTTTGCGTTACTGTAGAGCGAACCAAACACTGCATAAGTGGTATACGGGGATCATATTAGAGTTTTCTCAAAAAAAATATGAAATTGTAGACAGTGTTAAGTCAAGCCATCTTAAGTTATGAAATAAATTTTCATAGTACAGTTATTCAGAGCTCTAAATGCTGATACTGGCCACGTTCGCTGGTCTGAAACTTGGCTGAAACTGGCTGATTTTGTGAGAGAGAAATACTGTAGCGGCTGGTTGATGAATAGTGTTTGCTGAGGGGATCAGCCGGCTGGTCTGGATGGACCAGACCAGCGAACACGCCCACTATTTTCTTTAAATTTGATTAAATTAAAGATAATTTGACTTTGGATCAAACCTAGAATTATATCTTTTGGGGACCGAGGTAGCAGATTTTGAATATTCCAAACAAATCAAATTTGATCTGATCGATGTTGAATCTCACTAGTCGCTACCCAATGCAAGTATTTTCATCTCCACGTATAACACGTGAGATTCCTGACTGTGGCACTTCTGTTAGATGTTCTGTATATTGTATTAACTAACCACCTATTGAGCTGCCAATTGATTCGATTCTCCCTGATCACACGAAGCAACGCAAGTACATGCTCTTGATTTGGGGTACATGGTACCTGCTTAGCACGTTTGTTTACTTGGAGCGTACATGCATGTTGGTACGCTGCTGATACTTGGAAATTAAAATCAAGCAAGCATGCATGCATGGGGCAGAGAACTCAACAAAGGAATCGATCTGTACAAAAATGGCCGCTGACAACTGCAGTAGCTTTCTTCTTCGAAAACAAGAGGGAGGGGGAAAAAGGCTACACCAACCCTGGTTTCGCCGTGGCTTCCCGTACACCGGCGGTGCCCAAAGTCTTTTGGCTTCCCGTACACATGGGAGCAGAGCAACACACTTCCCTGCACCGGCGGCAAGGCGTGTCCAAGATGCGTCGGCTAGCTCCTGGGACCTTGGCCACCTGGGGACTGGGGTGCATCACCTGTCAATTCAATTTTCCATCGACTCGCAGTGCACGGCCCAGATCATCCGCCATGATCATGGACGGACGCGTGGACCGGCTCCACGGGCTCAGCCACTGCACGCCGGCCGCCACAGCGAGCAGAACGACACCGGCTGCCCCTTCCACCGCAGCGCCACTGCCCCGGCCGCCCCCGACGCCGACATCTCCCAGCCGCCGTCGTACTTCCTCAGCAGCGACTTGGCCGACTCCACCGCCTCGTCTCCGAACGCCGCCTCCTCGAACCCGGCGGCCGCCATGCGCTCCCGCCACGCCTCCCTCCCTGCTCCCGCCGCCTCCGACGCGACGGACGTGCCGGCCTCGGCCTCCATCAGGCGCCTCTCCTCCCCGTCCCTCCCCTTGAACGCCGCGTACGTCGACTCCAGGAACCGCCACAGCAGCTCCAGCCTCGCCGTGAACTCGCCCGCCGCGGTGCCGTCGCCGCCGCCGTCGAGCTCCGAGACCACCACCAGCTCCGGGTTGAGGCCTCGGACCTTCCTTAGGATCTCTGTCCGCTCGTCGGCGCCGGCGTGGCCGAGCCGGAACTGGAGACACACGACGAGGGCCTCGCCACCGCCCGACGGGGAGGTGAACCCATGTTGCACGGAGTCCAGGGAGGCCGCGCGGCTGATGGCGAGCTGCAGGTTGATTGACTTGGCGTACCGGAGGAGGTGCGGCGAGAAGTCGTACCCCGGAGGCGACGCCGAGAAGGGCGCCGGCAGGGTGGCCGCGGGGCCCGCCACGGTGAGGCGGACGGAGGGCGGCGCGCGCCCGCCGGGCAGCCGGGTCAGCGACTCCAGCAGCGTCGGCCACTGCACGCCGTGCGAGACGCCGAGGTCGACAACGTGCAGCGCCCGGGGCTCCGCGGGGCCGCCGCGCGACGCGGCCTGCGCGATGGCGGCGTTGGCCAGCGCGTTCGGGAGCGCGAACCACGGGCTCACCTCGTGGAACCTGATGAGCGACGCGCGGAACAGCCGCGGCTCCGCGCCTGCGAACGCCGGCGTGGGGCACTCGCATGGCGGCACCCGCACGGTCGCTGCGGCCGCCGGCCCGACGGCGGCGGGGAGCCTACGGGCGAGCGCGTGCAGCCCGTGCGCGGCCAGCCGGTGGTTGGCGTCGCCGGAAAAGGAGGCGAGCTCGCCGAGCACGTAGAACAGGTGCTGCACGCGTGACAGGTTGCCGGCCTCGACGGCGGCCGCGCACGGGTTCAGAAGCTGCTCCGCCCACCTCGTGTCGCGGTCGGATCCCGCTCCCCCGCCCTTGGAGCCGCCCTTCTTGCTGCCGCTGCCGCCACCGGCACCTGCTGGCCTGTCCTTGTCAGCGCGGCGACGCTGGTTGCTGCCACTGTGGGCGGACGCCCTGTGCGCCGGGGACTTGCGCTTCTTGGACGAAGGCTCCGACGGCGACGACACGGCCGGTGACGCAATGCTTGGCGAGGTGTGCGCCAGGGGCGGACTGGTCGTCGTCAGCAGCGGCGCCGGGGGCGAGAGCGTCTGCGCCACGACGCTGCCAATATCATCTTGCTGCGCCGCCGCGGGATTGGACCACCACCCGTAGCCGCCGCCGTCGGCGATGTCAACATCCGCGGTGAGGAAGGAGATGGAATCCTCAAGCCAGTCGAAGCCGCTGTTGGTCGTTGTGGCGGCGAGCTCCGGGTGCTCCTGCTCGTGACAGCTCATGGGCTTCATGCATGCAATCTTGCAACAAGATGAGGAGATGTGCATGGACGTGCAAAGGCAATAACAACAGGTGGGAGTGGACAGTGGCGAAGCTACCGGCAAATGAACCTGGTGCACTGCTTAAGTAACTTACGCAACTTTATTGAAACATATGGTGAAAATAAGGCGTTGAATGGCAAAAAAAAAAAAAACCCTGGTGCGTGTGCACCAGGTAACTTCAACGTGGCTTCGCCCCTGAGTGGATCCGCTTGGCGTTTGCGTCTTAGTTAGGCCTTGCTTTGATTTGTGGAGCTTAATCTAGGGTTTCATGAATTGATTGGAGGCTAATGAGGACGGAGCAGGGATCAGTGGCCTTGTTTATGCATTGGTGGGTTATTTTAGGGTTCTACCCTCGTGGAACTGACATATTCCCTACATTTTGGTGGCATATGGCTCTGTGAAGTACACCAAAGCATATCTCTCGAGATTCTGCACCCGTTGCAATTAACAAAAGGACCTCGGGAAAGTTCTCTTAACATAAGGCAAGCTTGATTGGCTTAATTTGAATGTTCAGCTCCAACTTCTTGTCTGTTGTTTTAGATGACTAGATAAACCATTCTGAAGCAGAGTATGAAACATAGTGTTACTTAGGCCATGTTTGGATCCAAGGAGCTAATAGTATGAAACATATTTGGAACTCTCGCATGTATAAATCGACACAGGCTTACAAAGTTCTAATTGGTCACACACAGGTACACACCGCATTCAAATGGATGTGGAGGTCATCATGTCAATACAAACATAAAGTCTTCTTATGGCTACTCTTAAAGGACCGACTCGGCACAAAGAGAACTTCTCCGAAGGAATAACATGGATCTCCCCTCTTATGATTGTGTCCTATGCACCCAACCTACAGAGGTAACCCTAGAACACCTATTCTTCAAGTGTGACTTCGGGCAAGCTTGCTGGTTCAATCTTAATCTTTGCATTGACACTGATGATGAACTCTTTATTACTCTGGAACACTTCAAACAACAGTTGGGAGTCCACTTCTACATGGAAATCATCGTACTAATGAGCTGGAGCATTTGGGTCTCAAGGAATGACAATATCTTCAAGGAATTCTGTCATCTATATCAAATTGCCGGGCCTTTTTCAAAAAAGAGTTATATCTGGTTATCCATAGAGCGAAGAAAAAATATTTCTCTCTTATAGAAGAATGGCTAGAGCACCAATTGTGATCTTCTTTATATTCTTTTTGTCCTTTTTTCTTGAATTTTGTGCTTGGACACATCTTTGTCTTCTTTTAATTAATAATATTAATAAGTAGGGGTTACCTCTTCTGTTTCCTAAAAAAAAACTAGCTGCTAATTATTAGCTCCTTTTGGATCCAAATAGGTCTAACTAATAGTTTAGCTAATAACTGTTAGCTGAATACCTAACTAACAACTATTTCACTGGTTGACCAAATAGCTAATAGCAGCTAATATTAGTTGTAACCTATTAGCTAGCTAACTATTAGGAGCTAATGATCCAAATAGGGTCTTACAAGAATCTAGTGAAAAAGGCATTTTTCACAGGCAAAATTAAATCGTTGCTGGAATTTCCTGAGTGTTCTCGTTATGATTCAGTTCCCGTAATGATTCAGTTCCAATTTTACTACGGATGTTCTGATACTCAACCTATCTATTTTGTAACGGAATCTCAAGCTTTGAACTCCCTTCTTTCTTATAATATGGAGCATTGCGATATGACTCGGTTCATTCAACCCTTCTTGATTTGGTGACAATTGTATATTTACATCTCTCTTTGAGACGTCACGGTTGCTGGGAAGCATTGCGACAGTAATGCCGAAGCAGTTTAATGGTGGAATTGCCGCCCCCATTGGATGGGAGCCGGAGAAGGGCGGCTGTCACAGCATTTCGGTACAGGGATTAAGAGTTTGGTTGGAGAGCGACAGGAACGGCCACTACTCGTTAGTTGGTACGCCTATGTTACTTGTTGCTTGGATCCATACTAAATCTCAAATGATTGGGATCCAAATGACACCATCACAGGTGCATGTGGCCTGATGTGGGGACACCCATCCCTGCCCTGCACTGCAAATGCTTATACTGCTGCTGCCTTCAGCGATTGCTCTTTGTTTAGTTCTTGCTGACAGGTCGGATGAGCTCACTTCGATCTATCAGCGGTCGACAGATGTTCATCCTGAAAACTGTGATGCGTATTTTAGTTGATTCTCTATGTATTCTTGCTGATTATTGGTATGTGCAGACCCCAGAATTTAAATTAAAATACAATGCACTATTCAGAGGTGTGACTTGCAAGCTTCAAATTTTCTGCCTTCTTCTGAATAATTTTGGAGACACAAGAGCGCGCATTGGACATCTCGAAGAAAAATAGCATTATGCTTCTAGTTGCTATGCAAATGCAATTGTGCAAGTGCGCGTGGCAAACGCTAATGTGTGCGTTTGAAGTTTTCAAACAACTCTTGTTTTCCATGAAAGGCCACACAGCTGGACTCTTTCAGTGTTTGCAAAAGGTTACTGCAGGCTGATTGGTTCCTGTCATAAGCACAAATTCAGCAAGCTGGACAATTTTTTGCTTTCTGGAATGCTTACAACTCCACTAATTTACTTATTCAATTGTGAAACTGTGTGGATGGTGATGGTAAAATTGTCATGGAAGATGCACACAAGCAGTAGTGCAGTACTATTCAGACGGCAGTATGTCTTTTATATTGCTCCGTCCCAGACATATCACATATCTTACTCCACATCCATCAGTCCTGTGTCTTGGACATACTGGATACTGTACTAAGATAGCAATTCCTTTGTTGTATTGTGATGGATGCAATGGTAGTTATCACTCTAAGCCAGCAATTTTTTCCATATGCCTAACTCCAATTCCCTTCTTATCGTCTTCTCAGATTTGTCATTGAGTTCTGTTTTTTTGAAGTAAAATACCAGGAGCTCTCTCTTTCAATTAAGACAGGAAACAGAGCTTTTAGATAAAATACAATTTACAGCCGAGGCTGCAGCAGCACAGCAAACCGGGACAAAGATAAGGCTTACACAGGCATCAAACACAACCAAAGCAAGCAAAGCAAACTGCATCGGTGATCTCGTCCATGTTGAAATATGAAGTGAAGTAGCCATCTTCTCCATCAGCTTAAGGTTTTCGATTGAATTGGTCGGTGCATACAACTCAATATGATATCAACTGTTGCTCGTTCCTATTCGACATTGGAGATTTGAGGAAGCCCCATGTGAAGGGAGTATTGAAATATAAAGTGAATTGCTCATGTTCTCCATTAAGTTAACCTTTTGGATTGAACTGATCGGTGCATGCAATTTAATAGTCCAAAAATATGGAAGACAGTCGTGTCTATTGATTGGTGACTAGTAGGGAAATTGCATGTAATTATACAAATTCTGATAATAATCATTCGAGATCATTGCACAAAAAAATTGATAAATATTTTCGCAGCTTTCAGTGGCTCCACCTCTTCCTTGTATAATTCCACTTGGAGGTTGTTGACCTATCAGTACTCTTTTCCTTGTGATATGATAAATAAGCTACTGTTGTTAGCTAATCTATTGCCACCTTGTGTGAACACAACAGAGGAAGGCGGCGCCAACTTAGCCGCCTGCTGTGTGTGAACACAGCAAGGGAAGGCGGCGCCGACTTTGTCCCCTGCTGTGATACAGTAGGCGCTGCAGGTGTAGGCGCCGTACGGCTCACCTGCAGCACTGTAGAAACAGGCAGTGGCCGACGCAGAGTCAGCCCTGTCAGGTTATCTAGTTACTGTGCCAGCATGGGCGCTGCACATGGACTAGATAGTTAGAGTTGTATAAATAGACATGTATGACAACTCAGTAAAGAGACCTCAGATTTGCCATCACACGGACAGGGCCTCGGCCAACGCTATTGTCTTGTATTGTACGTGCTTGCTCTGTTCTCCCTTCTTCTCCCAACTCCGTCCGTAGTGTGTGGGTATGGACAACGCCGGTATGTGGTCTGCATGGCTAGTGGGTGCTCGGCAACACTAGCGCGTGCTCGGCGAGACCGTCAAGTGCTCCACTCGCCTGAGCCGGTGCACGGCAAGATCGGCTAGAGTGGTTCACTGACGTGAGTCGGTGATCCTGTGAGACCAAGGGTGGTCTGGAGGCTATCTGTAGTGGTTTGGAGGCCATCTGTAGTGGTCTGGAGGCCATCTGTAGTGGTTTGAAGGCTATCTGTAGTGGTCTGTAGGCCATCTCGGTGGTCGGGAGGCTAACTGTGGGCCAACAAGTGGTATCGGAGCCGTACAAGCGCCGTCGTCATTCTAACCGATGGCGATGACAGGCGGTTCGGAGTTGGGCGACGGCAGTGGCACTGTTGTGGCTGCCCAGCCACTACCGGATGTAGTTGTTCTCACGGTGCGGGAGGTCAGCGGCACCACTTGGCCAACGCTGACTCGCACTAACTATGGAGAGTGGTTGGTGACCATGAAGGTCAAGCTCAGAGCCCGACGGCTCTGGAATGCTATTGACAAGGGCACCGACGTGAAAGAAGACGACATGTCAACGTTGGAGGCTATCCTCGCTGCTGTACCGGCGGAGTACAGAGAACCGTTGGGGACGAAAGGCTCAGCTAAGGAGGCGTGGGAGGCCATTGCGGCGATGCGCGTCGGTTCCGACCACGCGCAAAGAAGGCGATGGCCCAGCTTCTGAAGCAGTACGCAAACCTCAAGTTCAAGGATGGTGAAACAGTGGAGGACTTTTCCCTCCGTCTGCAGACGCTCATCAGCAAGCTGAAGAGCCACGGCGTCACCATCGACGAAGAGGAGGCGTTCTCCAAGTTCCTCCACTCCGTGCCGGCAAAGTATATCCAGATCGCTCTCTCCATAGAGACGATGCTGGACTTGTCCACCCTCACCATTGAGGATGTGGCAGGCCGTCTGCGGGCGGTGGACGAGCGCCTAGGGCAGGCGACAGCAACGAAGGATAGGGGGAAACTCCTGCTGATGGAAGAGGAGTGGGCTGCTCGATGAAACTCTGGGAAGGCTGCCTCCTCCAGTCGCG